GGCGTTCAAAAATATTTTACCTACATACAAAACAAAGCAACTTAACTTTTCCACGGCAACTTTGTATACGAGCAACAACTGCATACAACAAGAACAACGAGAGTGTTAAATGTTACCAGGCGGCAGAAAGTAATATCTAAGCATTGGAGAACAACAACTAAAACAAGCAGCTAACTAAAATACAGTTATGACAACTGCATACAAGCTATAAACAAACAAAAGCAGGCAGAAGGCTTGCGAAGCGCAATCAAATGCCAAGCCGCTAAAAGGAAACCAACCAATCCCGAAGCAATCAAGTATACTAAAACGCAAAATTATATACGAGCACTAAGCGCTAAACAACAAACAAACAAATAAATACCTATATAAATTTATAAAATAAAAACAAGAAATTATTCCACAACTACATATACAAGCATTGTATACGATTTTAAAAATTGAATTAACAATAAAGTACACTTTAAGAACAAGAAGCAGAAGAAGTAAGGAATACTCTATAAAAATAAATAACAATCAGCTGCAATATTCACAAATAAAAAAAAAAACNTAAGGAATACTCTATAAAAATAAATAACAATCAGCTGCAATATTCACAAATAAAAAAACACGAAAAGCATATTTAAAGCAAAGAAAAACAAAATATTTTACTTGCAATAATTTTCCTATTCGTTTCGTCGCGTTTTACCGTCGCGTGTGTCGCTTAACAAAAACAAAAAGAAACATAAAAAAAAAAACACGAAAAGCATATTTAAAGCAAAGAAAAACAAAATATTTTACTTGCAATAATTTTCCTATTCGTTTCGTCGCGTTTTACCGTCGCGTGTGTCGCTTAACAAAAACAAAAAGAAACATAAAAAAAAACACAAAAATATTGCAAACAAATGTGCCTGTGTTGATGTAAATTACATATACATATAAATAAAAAAATCAAAGTGAACAAACTGTAGAGAAGAAGCCAAAAAAAGATTTGCAATAAAATTAATGCAAGGTTGCATGCCACAAGCATACATGCAACTAGGCAAGTGCACGAAAACTGCAGTGAAGTGTTCCTAAGAATATTCATAGCAAAGCAAAGAAACAAACAAACAAATATTAAACATCTAAAAATACTATATAGACAAGGAGCGTAAAGTGGACTTGCGAGCCGGCCACATAGCCAAAAAGTGACCGCCGCACCCACCCACCAGCTAAAAGCTCAACAACTCCTCAACCAGAAAACCACAACTCGGCAAACGTTGCACAGCGTGTGCTGCTTGCAAAAGTGGCACAGGTCGGGCTGGACATCGCTCCCAGAGCATTAATGGCTCAACCTAGGGTGAGTACGAAATTAAATACAAACATACTTGGGTAATTGCGTGAATTTTAAGTTTAACGGCATAATTCTGCCGTAAAGGTCGGTTCGCCGTTGCTTTTGTCGCTTGCATTTAGCGACGGTAAATTTGTTGAAGAAAAATAAATGATTTTTTTTTTCAACTTTGTGCTGCTGGCAATAGATAGGAGTGTCATCAGAGTGCGGTGCTAAGTGTGTGGGTTGTAGGCGAAAAAATGAAAGGCACTACTTTGCAGACCTCTGCGTGCGTAAATAAGAAAATCAGGATCAAGGAAACTAAAACATAGAAATGAAAAAAGCTTTGAAATTTAATAAAAAAAAAACATATACGTATGTGTGCGCCAATCAAAATCAGAGTTAGGCAAAATTTGTTCGCATGACAAATAACAAGTAAATAAATAGTTGTCCTAATTATTCGCATATAATAAATACATATGTAATTTTGTTTATTCAAAGAAAAATTATTCGAATGACAGATAAACTATTTTATTTGTTATTAGAAAATAAAAGAAGTAATAATCTTGATGAAACAGCAAACAGAGTTAAACTAACTGAGAATCGGTGGCAATAGAAATAAAAGTAAATCGTTGCACAGTGTGGTACAAATCGAGTTTTAAAAAATTATTAAAAAAAAAAAAAACGAATAAAAACACGAAACCTTTAAACATAAGAAATTTATTCCCGACTAATTCAGTCGTAACTAAATTATTTGCGAATAATTATACTACACATATAATTTAATTCGAATGCTCAGCTCTGATTATAATATCAATTTCTTTTCTATTTCAAGTCAGTATCCTAGCCCAAAGAGAACTTGAAAGCAATGCAAAATTATAAAAAGAATGCTAAAACTAAAAAATAAAATTAGTCAGAGTAAAACGAAACAAAAAAATTTAGTAACGTAAACGAAAAATTAAATAAAATTTAAACAAGTAATTAAAAAAAAATTAAGACAAGCTTTTGTTCGTGGTTAGTAGCAAAAAAGAAAAATTGACCCGCCCCACCTAATGGCAAAAGTTTTTGTGTAGTTATTTCCGTCTATTAAAGCTTTATAACAAGTTCTAAATATGAAAAAAAAAATCGGGTCATAAATACGAATTTTTCAACTATCTCGACTGTGTAGTTATTCCCTTTTAAATACTAGGTAGATAATATATATTCCAAATAGGACGAACAATATCGGACCATAAATACGAGTTTTCAAATATCTCGACACCTGCGCCACCTACCGGACTAATTCATATTTCACATTGCATTGCCATTGGCTTCTGAGCCAACCTTAAAGTTTCTAGTCTCTAGTTCAACGGCAGTCGGTTAAAAATGTTTTGTAAGATTTGTTTACCCACAGGTGAAATTGTAAAAATATAAATTAAATAAAAATTAAATAATTTAAAAAAAAAATGTATTAAAATTTAATCAACGTCTCACAATGTTTTCGAAGTGGCCAAAAATAGGTACAATATTAATGTTCGGAATTTGAAAAACGGCATACTTAATATTTAAAACATGGTATTCTGACTAATAAAAATATATCGATGGCTGAGTGGAAGTTCGACCTATCTCGGCAGCCAGTTCGAAAACGCCCTATCTCAGAAAACTTTTCAAGAACGCCTTACTTCAAAATTTGATTGAAAAACGCCCTATTTCAGAATATTATTGAAAA